CTTTCATGATCAATCATTATAAAACATATCATATATATTATTCTGAAATGGACCAATCTGCACAATGAATACTTTTACTTTTGATACTTTCACTATATTTTGATGCTAATACTTTTCTAATTTTACTTGAGTAACATTTTGAATGCAGGACTTTTACTGTAACAGAGTATTTCAACACTCTGGTACTTCTACTTTTTCTTACAAGATCTGGGTAATTCTTCCTCTTACACATCTTCCACCGTGCATATCACCATTCAAACATGCTGAATAAATGAATAGCTTAAGAAACAACACTCAACCCAGTTAACACCTTTAAATGTTGACTTACTTACTTTAAACTTAATTGTACAGTTGTTAACATAAGGTTCATAGTTCAATTGTTTAACTTTGTCGACAAGATTAAGTTGAATGCTTAATAATAATAATAATAATGCATTACATTTTTTTTTTATTAGAGCGCTTTTACAGGTGCTCAAAGCAAAACAAGTACACATTACACATATTAGACATGTAAGAGTCATTGCTGCGGACATTACCCACAGGAGCAAATGCGGGTAAAGTGTCTTGCCCAAGGACACAACGGCCTGACGCAGTGGCGGACGAGGCGGGATTCGAACTGGAGTTCACCAACACCCCTTGATCTGATGACCAACGCTCTAACCACTGCACCAAAACCACCCCAATAATAAGCTGCGTTTGTCCGTCATGATTAGTTATTTCAATAAGAAACTTTGTTTCTATCGGTAAATACACATCTGAGTTGACAAATATGACATGTGGGGTACCTCAAGGCTCCATCTTGGGGCCTCTTCTCTTTAACGTCTACATGCTACCACTGGCTCAGATAATGAAAAACAACAAAATAAGTTACCATAGCTATGCAGATGACACACAAATGTACATAACCATTTCACCAGGAGACTATGCTCCAATTCAAACACTGAGTAAGTGCATTGAACAAATCAATGACTGGATGTATCAGAACTTTCTCCAATTAAACAAAGATAAAACTGAGGTAATGGTTTTTGGAGCCAAGTCAGAACGTATAAAAGTTAGCGCTGAGCTTCAGTCTGCAATGTTCAAAACAACAGATAAAGCCAGAAATCTAGGTGTAGTCATGGACTCTGACCTGAGTTTCAACAGTCACATTAAAACAGTTACTAAAGCAGCCTACTATCACCTAAAGAATATATCTAGGATTAAAAGACTAATGTCACAGCAGGATTTGGAAAGACTTGTCCATGCTTTTATCTTCAGTAGACTCGACTACTGCAATGGTGTCTTCACAGGTCTCACTAAAAAATCTATTAGAAAGCTGCAGCTGATTCAGAACGCGCTGCTCGAGTCCTCACTAACACTAAGAAAGTGGATCACATCACTCCTGTTCTGAAGTCTTTACACTGGCTGCTTGTCTGTCATATAATTTATTTTAAAAATCTACTAAACTAAAGTGTACAAATAAAGAGAGTAATGTAGGCCTGTTATATTGAGTGATATATATTATAAACACTGCACAGCTGTTCTCACTGTAAACATCGCGTTGCGATTCAAGCAGTTAATAAAATAATATCCAGGGGATGCATGCAGAGCTGTCAAATAGCAAAACCAAGGTAATGCTATTTTCAAAAGCTAAAAAGACACCAGAGCCTGTTTTGGATATTGTTACTATGCAAGGACAAGTACTCAAAATGGTTACCAGTTATAAATACCTTGGTATCTGGCTTGATGATTGTCTTACTTTTAAACTTCATGTCAATAACCTGCTTAAAAAGCTGAGGGTTAGGCTAGGTTTCTTCTACAGGAACAAGTCCTGTTTCTCTTTTGAAGCCAGGAAAAGGCTCTGTGACCTTTTGACCTGTGCTGGACTATGGTGATTTGTTGTATATGAATGCACCTGCCTATTGCCTGAACAAGTTAGATGCCGCCTATCACAGCGCACTGAGATTTGTCACAAACTGTAAAGCACTTACTCATCACTGTACCCTGTATGCCAAGGCAGGTCTGCCATCACTTACTGTAAAGAGGCTCAGTCATTGGTACACGTTTATTTATAAAGCTTTGTTGGGTAAACTCCCGTATTATATCTGCTCTCTGATAACACAGAGAGTTGCAAGCAGCTATTGTCTGAGATCGCATGATGTAGTATTGTTAGATGTGCCAAGAGCAAGGACTGTGTCTTAGGTAAGACAGCTTTTATGTGCAGCTCCACTTGCTTGGAACAATCTTCAGCAGGAATTGAAACTGAGCAATCTCATTCCTCTGCATGTTTTTAAAGCTAGGCTAAATGAAATGCTCGTTGATACTATGGGCACTTGTAAATGTCTATAACTATGTAAATGTATCCTGTAAATATAATGTATAATGTCCTTTATTGTTTTATGTTTCATGTGGAACCTATATGCTGCAGCTCTCCCTTGAAAAAGAGATCTATGATCTCAATGGGACCAATCTCGTTAAATAAAGGTTTGAATTGGCTGAGATAAGTCCGGCCGTGCGTCACGACTCTTTGAAACATCACTGTTGCTGGAAATACATCCGCGGAGGATCCGTGGAGGACCCATCAGTGTATCCTCGGTTATAGCTGCTCCAGAGAGCCTCCTCGATGCTCGGTCCTCGATGTGCATTTAGAGAAATTAGATGTCCTTCAACATGGCGCGCTGAAATTCATTTCCGGGTCACTACCGGAGGACCGAGGATTCGAGGAGGGGAAATTAGTTAAATGAGAAAGGGCCCTTGCCTTCCCTGAGCAACAGCATGAAGTTAGGCTTGTTTGGACACACTGCAGAGGTCAGAGGTCAGGTAAAGTGCCAGATGCCTCACCTTTGCATTTCCCTCTGTCTACAGGGTTGTTTGGTGACGCTGAAGACTTTGTTTGAGGATAATTTCCTCACCACCGGGATCTCTGTCATCGTCCTCTGCATTATCGAGGTAAACTGATGGTGGTTATATTTACCATATAATTATTTCCAATTCATACAAAATAAATACACTTGTTTTGTTATCTTCTCCATACAAAATATAAGTAGGTTGTTTATAAGTTGAAAAGTAGGGAATTAGGGAAGGACTGTATAATGAAAGTTCCACTCGGAATGACGAACGCCTTGGGGTGTCGAGTCAGCAGGCTTTACAACATAAGTGATTTATTTGTCAATTTATGTTCGGTTAATCTAAGATGCAATTGATCTCACAGAAAGATGCTGCTATGTTAGTCTGTTTAGAAGTAAAGAAAGGCTGCAGAGTACGGAAGCTGGTACTGCCATGAATTAGAAATACAACTCTATTTCCATTTACCACAAGTTGTACTCTTCTTTTTGAAATGTATGGTCAATAGACCTAATTTACACAAAAGCAAACCTCATTTCTGAGTTAAAAAAGGAAAACATGTTGAATGATTTTGCTACATTGACCACAGATGCTACACATTTGAAAAAAAACCTAATGAAGATGATCAGAAGTATTTTCTCATGGAAAAACGTAGTATACAATCAAACATGTTATTTTATTAGACTTGTGGTGCGCCAAAATATAATTGAATGCAGCGTTAATAGAATATCCAAATCATCCATCCATCCATCTTCTCCCGCTTATCCGTGGTCGGGTCGCGGGGGTAGCAGTTCCAGCAGAGAGCCCCAAACTTTCTTTTCCCTGGCGACATCAACCAGCTCTGACTGGGGGATCCCAAGGCGCTCCCAGGCCAGCGAAGAGATATAATCCCTCCACCTGGTCCTAGGTCTACCCCTTGGTCTACCCCTTGGTCTCTTCCCAGCTGGACGTGCCTGGAACACCTCCCTAGGGAGGCGCCCAGGTGGCATCCTAACTAGGTGCCCGAACCACCTCAACTGGCTCCTTTCGACGCGAAGGAGGAGCGGTTCAACTCCGAGTCCCTCCCTGATGACCGAACTTCTCACCTTATCCCTAAGGGATATCCAAATCATCTCAATTTAAAATAGCTTTAAGATAATACAATAAAATCGACTTAATTAATCCCAGTTTGGGAAATGGTTTTTTTTGGGAACATATGGAGTCAGTCATTTTTTCTGTTTCAAATGCTACATGAATGTTGAGGTTGTCTCATATAGGAACAGCTCATCAAATGTATACATCTCTTCTCCCAGATGATCTGTCTTTTACAATTCACCATGTTTCCTCTTGTTGGTCCACAGGTGCTGGGAATGTGTTTCGCCATGACGCTCTTCTGCCACATCAGCAGATCTGGACTGGGCTACAAGTTATAGACTTTACAACTTTGATCTTTTATCTATGTTTTTCAGTCAATATCCTTTAAGAAATCATGTCTAATCGATGAGGCTGAGAAATCTGAAAAGATCAGAAAATAGTTATCTTTTACTAATCTTTGTGTGACGACAAAATATATTTGACCTTAGCATAGAAGAAAATAATGTATCAAGTAGAAATTGGAAGACATTTTTTAAGACATGACCGCGGTGTCCTTTAACGTAGTGAAGCTTTTTAGATGCTTTTCAGTCTGCACTGTGTGCAGGGAGACGACTGTTGCCGTTGGTTTCTCCAGACTTTTCTACATTGTGTCTTTTGAGAAGAATAATTGCAGTATGAAAAAAGAGCTTTTCCTGTAAAATACATGACATATATTCTGTAACTTTCTAACAAAGACTCATCCTGTAATATACCAATAAAGTATTGTTTACAGTATTTACACTGCTCTGCATCCTCCATTTTAACTTCATGTCATCAGAGGATCAGCATTTCCTGTTCTTGCTCAGTTCACTGATGTGAATGTACATGTAACCACTTCCTCTTTAGACTCCATCAGTTGGTTCCTCTAAAATAAAAAACACCTGAAACTGACTTGAGTTCCTCTTAATCCACTATTTTAAGAATGGAGCACCCTTTAATTTAAATGTAGATTGATTGGTTCTTAGTTAAGAAAGCGTGATTGTAATGTTTTCCTTGTATGAGAAATAAAACAAACTGACTTGAAAGACAAGCAAAGGTTTTTCAAACCGTTGGAAACAAGCAGGTAACACAGATAATTGCTTTTATTTGAAGAATAAATCCTGCATCAATATTTTAAGACAACAAAACTAAAAAAATACTAATATCATTTACACTTTAAAATAATTTTGTTCTTTTGAAACCACACAAAAATAGAGAAAAGTACAATTTTTGTAATTAAAAAATGTAACTGTACAGAGAAGAATATACCATTTATTGCAAACTGAACACCCCTGACACCTCAGAAACTATAAACACAAGTATTGCAATTCACCTAGAGATATGGAAAGACAAAAATCTATTCCGATACAGATGGCTCCGCCCCTTCTTCTCCGAAACAAGCAGCTGTTAGTCGGTTTCCCCTCGGCCGCCCCAGGAAGTCTCCAGAAGCAGCTCCTCTTTGTAATCCAAACGTTCAGGTCCATTTGAAAAGATTTTCAGTAACTGTGGCATTTGTTGCCATTGGATACCAGATGAACCGTCCTCTTTGGGCGACGCCTCACTTTCTGAACAGGAAGTAATGAGTTCTCCACTACACAGTCCCTCTGTGAGGCTATACACGTATGACTTAGATTCCAGGAAACCTGGTCCAGCAGTGCATCATGGACATTCTGTCTGAAAGACTATAAAAGCATTGCATTTAAAAAGGTGGGTTTCTTTCATTCAGCAGCCAAAAGGCCATTCAAATACTGAAAAGCTACACTTAAACGTCACAGCCCATATCACCAGTATTTTTGTTGTTATTAACAAATGCTATCGTAGTGAAAACCTATGAACAAAATATTGCAAAAAAGTTTGATATCTAGTTTGTGCTTAAGATGTTTAAAAGACAAGTCACTACAAATGCCCCTGCAGGAGACAGTATCAGAATACAAGTTATTTGAAGGAGCAGACAGTACCGAGCCTAAAAACACATTCTTGTTAGAGAGCGCTGGCGAGTGTTGCAGAGAGTGATGTCCCTCTGCCAACATCTAACCACCTCACACAACACAAATAAATAAAGACAGAAACTAAGTCTTTCATAACTCTGCTTCACAGATCCCCACCCCAACAGTTCAACCAATGCCCCCCCCCCCCATCAAAAGAACTGGAATGAGTAAGAACAGTAAGGGTACCCAGCCCCTATCTTCACAACATTCAAATATTACGGTTTAAATATCTGGTCTGCGGTCAGTTCATTAATGACTGATGCATACAATATACAGCGGAGAAAAGACAGTTCACAGAACACCCAACACCCCCCCCCCCCCCCTCCCCACACAGCTGGTCCATTTACACTTGAGGGTGACACTAAAATCCAAACCACTCAGTAGTATTATAAAGCTAATACTTCCAAGAGAATGACATATGAGAGCTGAGAACTCAGTATTATTGAGCCGTTCAAACACCGCTGCAAGGAAGAGCGCAGGCGACTAACCCGTCGCCGTGAAGAAAACTACATTAGTTATTTCAGATGTTACTTTTAAATCCAGGTGGATTTCTCTCAGTGGAACGAAGAATTCCCCATGCCACTGACACTGATGATGTGTCCACATTAGTTTACAGTTTTTGCATGGGACTAGGATTATAACCCCTGAAAGAGTTTAGCATGAACCAAAACAATTCCCCTGTAATGAATAAACTCCCATGATGCATTTTGTTCTGAACAGGACAAGTGTTGGGAAAGAACTGCAGACCCATCACAGGTAGACAACCAACAGTTGAGGCTTGTTGTGAGGCCTTCCCAATGTTACAGTATGCCCATAATGCGTCAGGAACACGGAACACTTCATTACAACTCAAATGCACCATCACATCCACCATCGTTATTGGTCATTACACAGTGAATAACAGTTGATTACTGATCAAACTGTGAGCCATCATCTACAAGTGAGTGTTTGTTTCCTTCTGTTCCAGAGCGCCGGGAAACTCTGAGCTCATCCTTATTGCTCCCTCAGTCTGTTTGACAAAGTCTGCTCCCCCACACATTGCACAGAAGCTGCAACTCCATTACAGCTTTGCAACAAAACCTCTAGACAGCTATTCAAGTATCCACATAACATGCCAGCCAGGTGAAACAACTGGTCCATTTGCATTACCTAATGTATGCAACCTGATCCTGACTATCAGCAGCTGAAGTGCTGACCCAATCATCCAGAGCATGGAATCAGGGCCAATCGGAATTTCAAATATCGTTTTAAAAACAGAAAATCTGACAGATAAAACAAATCTCTTGACATCACAATAAGAATGAATTTCAAGCTCATTTTTTATTCCTCACATAATTACCATCACTGTGGGCGTAATGGAGAGCTACTCCGTGAATAGAAAACGGTAATGTTGAGACTGCTGGAGACAAAGAATTGGTGGGGAGTTTGGCAGCTGTTACAGCAGGTTGTAATCCTTTAACACATGCACTGGAACCCTGAAATGATCTAGTCATCACCCAGAAAAGCTGTATGTGAGAAATGTCCAAATCAACGTGACCAGACAACAGGCGGACTTCACCCTGACGGCTCTAAGTGCGGAGTCTGTGGAAATCTGATTTGAGCCCATATGTGACTAGAGTTCTCACACCTAGCGAGTGGGCGTGTTGAGGACTTTCCTTTCGCAGCTGGCAGTGTCAACCAGAAGAAACCAAACAGCCGAGTATAATGTGGAAGGGTCTTTTACATGGAGACGCCACGGACAAAAATGTCTAACTCGATAAAGGGCGAGATAAAAGCCAACTCCAAAGATTCAGACCAATCTGAGGACACAAGAGACAAGTTATCCAAATGACGAACCGGCTAAATGACCGATGTGCCTCCTGCATGCTCTACCCCTGTCTTAGACCAAGTGAGAACGCTTCACCTGTTGTTGGCTACATGTGTGTAAGGGAAACAGCTCCAGCTCCTCAGCGTTAATGCACTCCCAAAAGCTACAGTAGTTCAAGTGTGTGCCGACATGATCCTCAAATATCCTCCAGTGGTGGATCCACAGTGAGCGTTAGAAAGGACCTGCTCAGACTTGATGACGCTGTAAGCGGGGTGCACAGTGTCTGAGGCGTAGAAACACAGAAAACAAACGTAGCAGCAATAACTAACCAACCATTTACATTAAGACTGCAACTTACTATGATCTGTCAATTCCTTATTAGGCAAAAATGTGATGACATTCTTTTGAAACAATCTTCAATTTCACTTCATGTTCACCACAAACATGGAACTATATGGTGTCTCCGTGTATCAAGGGGCAGAGCAACACAGTGGACACAAGATTTAAATATTGCCGTTGAAGTAGACTCTAGATTTCTTTACCTCATTAGAATTGATTGAAATATTCTTCTCGGTTTAAGTGGCATCTATCTGATGATTAGCCGGGGTTCTGAGGACGGGGGTTTCTTAACTGGAAACTTAAATGATGATTTGAAACTTATATCTTGGAAATGTTCAATATCAGAATGATGAATAAAATGGTCAGACAAACCTTTTTGTGTATACTACAAAACTGTTGGTCCTAACGATGTAATCCTATATTCAGTGTGAAGCTTAATACAACAAGCTAAACAATGAACCCAGCGGGGCAGGGTAAATATCATTTGACATGTAACTGATAGCCTTTAGTTACTTTGAAGAACATGAGTCAAACTAGATAAATGTGTCCTGTTGTTGTATAGTTCAGAATCAACAAGAGAAGCACATTTTCATTCCCGACAATCTCCTTTTTCTTTTTGAGCCGGTTACTGCTTCATTGTGTACCCAGATACTTTCCTCCATCTTACTTCCCATCATTCATTTGTATTTTCAAATAACACTTTTTAAATTAGTTAGTGTTGAAGGTTGCCATTTTCTTCTAGACTGGCAATGGATTGAACTTTCTTATTCTCATATGCCTCCACATGTTTATTATGTTGATGTGGTTGAAACATGACATTCATTCTAGCAGGGGAATATTATAGGTTTACATGGAGATCAAATGTCTTGTGTTTTGAAAACAATCCCAAAAGGGCAGTTTGTTTTCAAATCACTAGCTTCACAGTAGACTGACAGGGCCGCATGACAGCTGAGCTGAATGATGGAATCTGATCAGCTGACCTGAACAGCAGCTCTAGCACGTGGTACACTATAGTTACACTATTCCACTGCTGTTAGTAGGCTGCCTCAATGTTGCAGGGTGCGTCTTTGACCTTTTCTTCAAAGCAACTAAAACACCTCCTTGTAGGTCAGGTCATGAAATGCATCAGCTTGATGGCTTTTCTCTCAAGTGGACTGATCCGAGGCGTCTAGATCCAGAAGACTTAATCAGCACATCTGTTTTCACTTGAATAAAGGGAAGGAGATTCTATATCAGATAAAACATGTGTTCTGGTTGTTTCTGCAGCTGTAAGGCTCTGCAGGCGCAGGGAGCGAGTGGGAGGGGGTGGGGGACAGTCAGCCTCTCCGAGGCACGGAATGCTGTGGTCTTTTTTAAAAGGGTGACGCCCTCTCTTCCCCCATAGCTGGGGAGCTTAGAGAGGCATCAGCCGGGTGGTGTGGAACAGGAGGGGGTTCAGGTCCTCAGCGTGGACGGCCCTGTGGAGCGACGGCTCCGAGCGACTCCGCTCTATTTTTGGCAGCAAGTCTTGAACCTGCTCAATGGATACCAGGATCTGAAGAACCAAAGGTAAGGATTTGTCAAAAGGTTGTGAACACTCATCCTTGCATTTTGAAAAGTTTTTAAGATATGACAGTTGGAACTTCAGCTGGTACACTAAGAACAAGAATTGTAAGGCATACACAACAAGATGGGAAATGTACACTCACCTGTGGAAACAAGGGCCTCTCGTCACGTTTGAACTTCAGGCAGTCAATGATAAGCCTTTTCATTGACTTGGGTGAGGTACTAGACAGCTTACTTAGGTCTGGAGACAAGTAACCACGTCCAACCATAAAGATAATCTGAGGAAAGAAAGCAGAGGAAACTGATGCTGAAACCTGACAGAGCTGCTTGTGAAGGGCAACAATGCTAGTGTCACAACAAGAGAAGGGGATTTCAACGTGCTTAACTTAGAAGGCAAGTTTATTTATATAGCCCCTTTCAACACAAGGCAATTCAAAGAGCTTTACAAAAATGAAAGACATTAAGAAAATGGCATTTAAAAACAGTCATTAAAAAGCAAAGATAATAAAATAAACATTAAAAGAAATACATGAATAAAACTTACAGTAAAAGGGGTAGCCCCAAAATAATCATTGGTTTATTAACTCACTGTGTAACACATGAATGTGTGGAGAACACTTTGAGGAGTAGCACGAGACTGGTTAAGGCAGAAGTCTTTTAAATGGAGACATTTGAGCTAAATAACTGTAATAAAACTAAATATATGAAAAACCAAAACCAAACTAAAACTTGAGAACTATCAAATAAAATAGAAAAGTCAAAACTAATATACCCTGTGAGCACATAAACACAAGAGGAGGAGTGTAAAGTAACCTGGTCTCTGTTGTTGATATTCGAGTAAGGCAGGGTCCCTGACATCAGCTCAAACAGCACAACTCCGTATCCGTACACGTCAGACTGGAACGTGTATGGGTTGGTGTCCTGCATCCGGATCACCTCAGGAGCCTAGGAAAGACAAAAGACACAAAAGTAAGCACTACTCAATGAGCCAAATCCAAAGTTACACATTGAAGTATTCAATATATAGGCTGATACTTCTTAAATACATCAAATATGTCTATGCTAACATCAGCACTCGTTTCCCCATAAAACCTGCGAGGGTATGAAATGCATCCTAAAAGCGAAGGAATACATTACATAAAAGATCTATTTCTCCACATTTACATAAAAACATACGCAGTAGGGTGCACCACAATTATTTTAGATCATCAAATAAACAGAGGAACTGGGTTTCTATCTTAATATTCAGAGTCAATGTGAAATGTTGTCTATAGCCAGACTGTCATCTTGAAGGACATCCCAATTTTGAAATTGCACATCTAGGAGCGAAGATCGAGCAGGCTCGCTGAAGGAACTATGAGCGAGAATACACTAATGTAGGACTTCTCAAACTCCGGACCGAACTGCAAATCAATCCGGACCGAACCCTGTGTCCCATTATAAAAAATTAAAATTGTAAAAAATTTAAAAAGTCTGATTCTGATGTAAATTAATGTATATTTTCTTGTGTCTGACGCGTTGTGAGAATGAACATGCATATGTATTTACTTGTGTGCGTGACCGTGACACGCATTGCAGACTGCAAGTTAACCGCAAGTTTACCTTGACTTTCTAATGCTTCTAATGCCTTTTTTGCCGAGGTTCAAGGCATTGGCTACAGACAAACAGTGCCATTTCTCCCACTAGTTCAAGCCACCATATGTATTGTATGTATGTATTGAATGTGTGTGTGTATACAGGGGCGCCGTTTGCCGACAGGCAAGGCAGGCAAGTGCTTGGACCAGAAGGGGGCCCCCCAAAGAAGGTAGATTGAGAGAAGGTCCACAGCAACGACAACATGAAAATCCTTTAATTTACTGCAACGACATGTCGGGAAACCCCCTCAAGGGGGCCCCATGCATAGCGACGAAACTGCTTCTTAATTTCAGTTTCGTTGCTCCGCTCCGTTTCTGGGGGACTTTACTGGCATTGATCCGGACCCGTGACCTTGTATACAATTCACAAGTGGACGTTTAGCAAAAAAGTTTGAGTACCCTGCACTAATGTATCCTTCTGGGATGTATTTCCGGCAACAGTGTGGTTTAAAAGTGAATATTCGCATTAGGGGTCGGCCGATATTCCGCATTTGACCAATTATCGGTATCGGCCTTTTTTTTAGCAAATTGCCGATAAAACTTTGGCTCTGATGCGGCCGTTTCTCTGGCTGCAGTCACCACTCTGTGTACACGATCAATGTCCCGCCCACAGCGCTATCTGATAGGCTATTACTGAAGATTTTCCGGGCGGGAGCCAGAGAGGCGGGACCTTCTCAGGTTACAGACAGGTGCGAAAGAACGCAGACACAGACTGAAGCAAGCAGCAGCGCTGAGCGGCAGAGCCATCCATGTGTTAAACCGAAGTTCAATAAACATCCCAATCCCCTATGCTGAAGTTGCAAAAACACCACGATCTTATGATCCAATTCTATCAGTTTCCCAGTTACACAGGGACGCGGGAAGTCAGTCAGAGTTGGGGGTGCGTGCAGCGTCTCGCAGCGGAGTAACTGTGGTGCGGGGGGGGGGGGGCTGTGAGTGGAGCCTTGCAGTTTTTCAGGTTGATATGTGAAGCTCATTAGCTAGCCAACATGTATCAGCAAATGTTTAGCAACATATTAGAAGTGAGGCTACTAGACTAACGTTAGGTCTACTGTAATAGCCTCACTTTTAATAGTTTGCAAAACATTAGCTAGCACTAGTGTTTTGCAGTTGCTAGCAGCTTATTGGGATTTTATGCTAGATTGACAGATATAATAAATTAAGCATTCTTGTTAGTTAAGCATGTCAGCCTGCAGCCCCACTTCTTGTCTCTCTAACTCATTGCAGATGGCTGCATTAAAGAAAAGGGCACAGAGAGGAAACCAGTTGTAAGATGTTTAAAAGTTCATTAAACATAATATGCTTAAATGCATTTCAAAGAAGTTGAGTTGTGTTGGAGTTTGTGTTATTCTACATTTTAACACCAAGATTTTCTGATTTTACTGCAAATGTATATCGGTTCCAAATATCGGTTATCGGTCTCCTTGATTACTAATAATCGGTATCGGCCTTGAAAAAGCCATATCGGTCGATCCCTAATTCGCATCGCTCTAATCGCTTCAGTTTGACTACGGCTGTCAGGTGTGTTTACTCGTTTACATTTCATAATGATGCCGAAGTAACTACATACTGATACCGGATAGTAAAAACCATGAATTAATGCTTTGACGAGTCTTCTTACAATACTGCAGGCAAAACACTTTTTAAATGTGTGTTTTCTGAATGGAGGTCAGAGGCCTGTACTACGAAGCTGGTTCAACCTAACCTGGATATGTTTGAGTTAGCCGGTTGGCCTGATCCAAAACATACGCGCTCTCGCTAAGCGGTCCTACGACGCTGGTTATCAAGTGGATCGCTCAAGCCAGCCGTGTCCTATCTAGTTAGGTGCGCGTTCACATGAAAGGGGTGGTATCTGGAGCATTCGACCAATCACAAACATGGAGAAGCGTACTGACAGCGCAGCGTCATACTTCCTGAATGAAAAGTGAACTATAATATTAGACATATGAAGAAGTTAAACTTTAAACATCCATGACTTAAACACTTTATCCAGGATCAAAGCCACAGAGCTGCACCTGCAAGGTGAATACAGCTGGTAACAGAACAAGTGTTTGAATGCGTACATTAACAGCTTTATGATATCACTGCCCCGTCTAAGACACGATCTGACTTTCATTACATTTGACTCGAGTGTTTCGTCAACTTAATGTGTTGCTTCAAATAATACTTCTGCATCCAGTATGTGACACTGTGAGTGTTGCACGGCCAGATACGGCTCAGCTGACTCAGATCAGGAGATATATGATACATTATGAAGTGATATGCCGCTGACTGTACGTAATGTTACTCTGATCCGGTTACTTATGTTGTGGCAGATATTTAAGTCAGCTTTCTTAATGCTAATGTTATAATAGTCAGATTGCTCTGAAGATGGAGGTGATATTCTATTCATGTTCACGTTCACACAGTCGGTGATTTTGTCTGGCCGTCTTTCCTGCAACGGCAGTTTAAACTGTATTTCCTCCGCACACTGAGCTCTGATTGGTCAGCAGGCGTGGTGCTTTCGCTGAGTTGATCTCTTATCCTGGAACCTATCCGGCTTCGGAGCACAGGCTAGGTTCCAGGATAAGTCACCATGGAGATCTAGCCCGCTAAAAAGTGAACCAGCTTCGTAGTACTGGAAATCCCAGAAGTTATCTTGCTAAACGAAAATCCTGCTTCGTAGTATACCCCCCAGGTTAGCCGCTCAGCATAAGTTACCATGGAGATCTAGCCCGCTAAAAAGAGAACCAGCGTCGTAGAACCGGAAACCCCAAGTTTTCCCTGAAGTTAGCCCGCCAAGTGAAAATCCTGCTTCGTAGTACAGGCCTCTGATCTATCAGAGCTAAGCTAACATGTAGCCTTTCTGTCCACACTCACAACAATGAGTTTTTACATAAAATGTAAATTGTGGCCTGTCATTTTATTTCCCCATTGTAGCGGAGATAGGCGAGGGAAATATATCCAGTCTCTGATAGTCATAAGATATTATGATAGTGCTCTAATGGTTCAAATCTTATTCGTATGTTTTTATTTAGCATGTCTACAGGATAGTCCGTAGTTAAATCAGTTTATTTAATTGTATTTAAAAGATGTTCCCCTCAGTCAAATCACACCAGATCTATACTTTTAAATCAGTTGAATTTCATAATATCTCATTTCAATCACAAACATGGACATATGTAACCGATGAAGTCACATGCAAAGGAAATAATAATGTTTAAGTCTAAAGAAAAACAATAAGTGTTTACTAGGACTAAGGACTAAACTATGAGTTGTCCCACAGCTCCAACACACTATATTTGGACCACTTTTAAAATGTTGTGAGGTTTGGTTGTTTCTACTGTAAAGACTTTTGTAATTTCTAAAATAGTTGAAAACTGTTCAAATCGAATGTGGATCAAAAAGCTAAGTAATCTATCACTATCATAAAATAACTAGGGCTGTCAGTCGATTCAAATATTTAATCGCATGATTGTCCATAGTTAATCGCAATTTAACATTTTTTATCTGTTCTAAATGTACCTTAGAGGAATATTTTTCAAGTTTTTAATAGTCTTAGTATCATATGAGTGGACAAATATGTTTATTATCATTTGAACAATGACAAATATTCTCATGAATATTAAACACAACAACCTCTGAACATTACAAATATTCACCTCAATTCAACCTGGAATCTCTCGTGTGTGTGTGTGTGTGTGTGTGTGTGTGTGTGTGTGTGTGTGTGTGTGTGTGTGATGGATCGTTGGAGCTATGTGCAACTCAAGGCATATGCTCGAACGGGAGCTGCCTGGACGCTGCAATCATGTTGCGCACTATCCGTGCTGAGTGTGATGACTTCTCGTACAATGTCCCACTGTCTGGCTTCCTGCATAAAGTCAAGTGCTCGGCGCAGTTGTCGGCGAAATGTCGCTCCTCTGTTTTCATTTAAACAGCTCCATATCCGTTAGCGCAGCTAGCTAGCACCAGATGCTAACAACAACAATGCACGTAAGGTCTCTCTCTCGCTCGCTCGGGCCACACATACACACACCCTCCCGGTCCTCCCGATGGCCAGTCGGTGCCTGCCGGTGAGCGTGGAAGTGTGGTCTGCCACAAGCGGGCAGCAGGAGCGGGGCTGTCAGCATCAGCTTGTAGATGGTATTTTAAACTCGATGCGCTCTGAAACTACGGGGCGGCCGAGGACAAAAAATACACATGTGTTAATCGCGGTAAAATAATTAGTGGCGTTAATTTTTTTTTGCGTTAACGCGTTATTAACGCGTTAACTTGACAGCCCTAAAAATAACACATAGAAAAGTGTTACAAATACTACTTTTTTTGATTAACGGCCCGTCCACACAGCGGCGTGCGTTGAAGCTTCCAACGCTTCTGCCCATTCACTTTGAATGGGGAGACGTCACTTTTAGCTGAACTGCATTTTGGGAAGCGACGTGGAGCGTTGCTCGCTTCAAAAGTTGAGCAATGTTCAACTTTTGGCGCCTCGGCAGAAGCGTCAGCCAATGAAATCCCGTTTATGCAAATCTGCCTGTACAAGCGCTAGCCAATCAAACCGCGTGTATGCTGGGAGAGACTACGCAGGTCATTTCCTCATATTCCAAAAAATGGAGGGAAAATTCATTATAGCGGTAGTGAATCACCCGGTGCTGTATGATCAGTCTCTGTTCATCTACCGGGATACAAACCGGAGGAACGAGGCATGGAGGGAGGTGGCAGAGACAGTGGGTGAAACTGGTAGGTTTTCGCCTGTTTGGGGAGTTTATATCCAGTTTACTTCGTTTTAACATTGCTATTGCTTTGTATGTCGGGGCGGGAGATTCATGTGATTGGTTGTTGGTCGCGTTGCTCGCAAAAAATCCCCAAGCTTCAGATACGCCCACCTCCAAGCGTCAACGCACGCCGCTGTGTGGACGGGCCGTAATACTACATAATCTAAAAAAAGTTACAAATATTCATCAAATATTATAAACTTTGAATATGAGAGAACTGAATCAGAGAGCTTCCCGTTTATATTTATGCTGCACTTTCCAATGACTTACAATGAGAAAAGGTGACAATAGTTTCATTGGATGTCTCTTCATGGACTCACAGTCATCATATAGTGTGAAGAGAGGCTTACCATCCACAGAATGGATCCACTGGGCTGCTCCACCTGCTGAGAGCCGCTCCACCGAGACTTCACTGTGGCCAGGCCAAAGTCACCGATCTTTACAGTCCAGCCCTCGTGGAGAAAAATATCTAGCAGAACAGCTCAGGAAACATAACAACAAAGTCTGGTCGTTTTTACTTACCACAAAAACCATTAACAAGCAAGAGATTATAAGAAGGGAGAGGTGTCGAAAGGAAGCTTTCTGTAGAAAACACTGGAACAAAAGGATACTGTTTGATTTCAGGTCTCGATGAATTATGTTCTTTGCGTGAAGGTAACTGAAAGGGGAGGAAATAAAATCTTTTTTACAAGACCTGACCCCACTTATTACATCCTGCACAATATTAGAGAGCCTCTGGGTTACGTCATCAGCTTATTCTTCCCTCAACCTATCCTAAAGGAGTGCATGTATACACATTAGTTTAGCTGCTATAGGCTTGGACTGTTGGGGGGGGGCACCTTACTCCGTCTTTCTGTATGTACCTGTGTACTCTCATGTTCCGATGAACCCAGCTTCCCCCAAATCTCTTTTTTGTGTCCATATATACGCCGGGATCCTGAGTCGAGGCTAATCCTGTTGCTGTGGTCGTGTGTTCTGGATCCTCTATCCTGAGCACTGGATCTGAGTCCTGGACTTCGAGTCGTGGCTGAACCTGTCTCTGCGGTCCTGCCTGACTCTCACCTACTGCTTCCCTGATGGCTCCCACAAGATTGTTGACATCCTCATGGATTCATCTTCTTATTACAGACACATGCATTTCCAAACATTTGGTCTACCTACACTGTAAAATGTATTATCTTTTCAATTTACACACGGCATCTATTGCACGTCTGTCCGTCCTGGGAGAGGGATCCCTCCTCTGTTGCTCTCCCTGAGGTTTCTCCCATTTTTCCCTTTAAACTGTGGGTTTTCTCTGGAAGTGTTTCCTTGTACGATGTGAGGGTCTAAGGACAGAGGGTGTCGTATTGTCATACTGATATTCTGTACACACTGTGAAGACCACTGAGACAAATGTAACATTTGTGATATTGGGCTACATAAACAAACATTGATTGATTGATTGATTGATTCAGAGATTCTACTGTGTAACCAGTCTTGACTTTTACCAATACCATAAGAGTGCTTCCTGTGCTATGGCCAACAATACTAAAAAACTATTTCAATGTCTTCTAATCTACAGCTGAAACAAGTTTCACAACATATAAACAAGTTTATCAAAAGTAAACATGGAATAATTATTCAATCCAAACTGACTATCATTCTTACAGTGCTTAAAATTGCGTGAAATTAAAACGTGATTTCTAGCATTTGATAATCCTATCAGCAGTGGTTGAGTGGTGATGCGGAAATAGAATATATAGAAGAAGGTCTTACTCCATGCCCTGTGCTGTTTGTCTAGCCACATCAATGCGACGCATCGTGTCAAACTTGGTTTCTGTGACGTGCAGATGGCGGTACAGGCTGCTGCCTTCACACCACTGAGTGATGATGGCGAAGTTGGGCTTAGTCATATAGCCCATGAACAGCAGGATGTTGACGTGGCGGGTCTTCCTGAAGATTACAAAAATGGCAATAGTGTCAGAAATGAAAAGATTGAGGTCCAGTTATGGAACTGTTATGATTGAGTCATATACATGTTTGACTAATACTGGTTCATTTTGAGATCGCAGTCAAAGTGGCTGCGACAGAGTTCTTTAAATGTACTATTAAATAGGTTATTATGAAGGAACAATTCTATGAATTCAGATGATATGCACCACTGACTATCCCTGTAACAATTTGTTTAAAATGGTGTGTCTGAATTGAGACATTTGGGTGTGATATTACATAGTTCATGTGAACTCAAAAGGACTAAGGAGGAATATTAATGTTTTTCACATTGTGTTTCAGATTACGCTGCAATGACAATTTGGTACTTTATAAGTCAGGACAATTCAACTGAAAACATGTAGTCAAGTTAAAGACATTATTACTTATGAACCTGCAGTGTATTAGCAGACACAATTCAGACGTTAGGGATCATAGAAAGGAACATGAATTGTAAGTATTGGTATGTTGCATTGATAAGTAGACTTTATGAAGTGGCAGGTAGTCTGTCTCCTTTGTTGATTGTGGATTATTGTGTATGCAATGATTATATTCTTTCTTATGTTACTGTAAAAAAAAAAGTGTAAGTAACTGTAATTCAGAGACCATCTATTTCTGTTATCCATGCTTGTCTATGTGTCATGGAATGTGTAAATAGAGTTGTGTTTTGATTGTGAATCGTTTTTTGTACACTACCTTGAGCAGAGCAAATGACAAAAGCATATGACCGTTTTTTTGTCTTGTTTAAACTGAGCATTTTGAATGATAGTCTCAATACATTTTCCAAAACACAGAAGAAGCCCAATTTTGAATAAAAGAGACTTTAAGTTAGCACTTCTTACCGTAAGACCTGCATTTCATTTTTGAAGGCCTGCAGCTGTTCCGGCGTTGGCTCAGTGACTTTCAGGATCTTGATGGCCACGTCTCCGTGCCACTTGCCCTTAAAGACTGTTCCAAACGAACCTGCACCTATTCTCTTCTGAATGTTCACTTCTCGAGAGTGGACTTCCCAGTAGTAACTGGAGTCTCTGTAGCCCCCTCGGTGCTGAAACATCACATGAGATTTAATGTAATGTAATTAAATGTAAATTTCTTCAATGTGAATAGGTCAACCAATGACCTGAGAATAATGTCAAAGACTACATACCACTTTCTTTTTGTCATCAGAAGAGGAAGGCTTGCGCTCCTTATGCTCTGAGGGAGACTTGGGGGGTCTACTCCCTGGGGTGAACAGAGAAGAGGGTGGGCTGGTGGAGGGCTTTGGTGAGGGCTCAGGACCTGCAGGCATGACAAGCAGGACAACCGATTACTTCAAAAAAAAAGAGCAGAGATAAAACTTCAACTGAATACCAATTCTGAAAGGGAGCAGGAAATCAAAACTGTTTTTGTTAGATTTGAATCACATACCCATTGTGTTGTTGAATTTTAGCGCTTCCTAAAAAAGGCGAAAAAACCCAATATTATACATTCAAATTTGATAAACGATTACACAGGTAAGTAAAAAGTGTTGAGGTCGGGTTTGCCTACTTCATAAGGACCAGCCATTTCAAGCACTGGAGCTATGCGTTAGACTTGTGGTGTTGTAGTGGAAATTATATAAAGAAGTTAGTCAGCAGTTGGTGAAGGATAAACATTTCTGATGCACCACAGCTGGTTAGTTTTTGGAGCCCAGTGTTTCCCCTATATACAAATAGCAGCGGCGCTGCTGAAATATGCGTGCCGCTGCTTAGGGGCGCCAGCCAGGTACCAAAATATTTTTTATAAATAATAATAAGTGCCGACCCTTTTCGGTTGTTTGTTATGTGGATTTGTAGTATTTGTGTTACTGTATGTTCAAAAAGGTGTATTTTGCTAAATCTTGAGACATTGCCACTGTATGTAATAGGCAGGCCCGGACAGGCCATCGGGAGGACCGGGAGGTTTCCCGATGGCGTGGCCTGCTGGTCTGGCGATTTCTTTTAAATGATGTATTGTGAACGCAACGCAGCACAAATGTGGGTTTGCCTCACACAGGGTGACTGTCTGTCTACATGATGTGGCCTGCCGACATGGCCACTTCCATACCGATCATAAATCAAAGCCCTCGATTGGTCTCTGTGTGTCATTCAAGCTCAGGAGGGTGTGTGTATGTGTGTATGGAGAGAGAGAGAGAGAGAGAGAGAGAGAGAGAGAGAGAGAGAGAGAGAGAGAGAGAGAGAGAGAGAGAGAGAGAGAGAGAGAGAGAGAGAGAGAGAGAGAGAGAGAGAGAGAGACAGAGCGCACCGGTTACTTGTATTTTTGTTGTTAGCATCTGCTTAGCTAGCTGCTCTAAAAGACAGAGGAGCTGTTTCAACAACAAGATGGAGGGAGAGTCCTCTGCTGTCAGACTGAGAGGCTCAGTGAGGTAAAGGACTCTCTGAGTGTTTAGATAGTTAATTTTAGTCTAAGTTATCTCAGTGAGTCACAAACAAATATGTGTTTACAAATTATGTAAACACATATTTCCAAGGCACTCCTTTATAATTATTAGGATACATAAAAACAGGTTTGAAATCATTCCAATGTATACTATAGGACAGTAAACCAAAAATATCGTTTAAAGTTGGAGAGATACAAAAATATGCATAAATAAATAAATGTTAACTGGGTAAAATAAGATATAAATGAACAACAAAAATAAAATACGTTACGTGTATTTGTTATTGGCTATGGAAGGTTATTGGTTATGTTCACATACTTGTTTAATTATTAAAATGTAAACCGATCTTTTTCATATGGGTGTTTAGAGTTATACCCCCTAGATCAGGTCTCTAGTAATTGTGTGCTCAAAGTCCACCAGATTGAAGCATTTTACTTTCAAATGTTCAAAACCATCTTCCCGGGGGGGCATACCCCCGGACCCCCCTAGAGGATGTGACATCCACCCGCCAATTAAAACATGGTCATACAATACTGAATACATTTGACGCCGTTTTCACGTATATTACCTATGTTAATAAGTTTCTGTTTTTGTAGTGTATTTGTCTTTTGTAGAGATTTTTCATTTAATCTTTATATATAAAATCTCGCCTAGGGCATCAAATTGTCTAGAACCGGCCCTGGTACTAGGCCTCAAGAGCCTTTCTTGTGCTGGCAGACACATAGAGACAAATTGGCGGCGCGCACTAAAACATTTCACGCGCTCCGCGCTCACATTATGCTAGGCCCACGTGCCTTAGCACCGCTGCTATGACTCCATCCTAGGGGAAACACTGGAGCCTTCTTTTTTCTTTTTCACAAGGTGCGATTTAGGTTTTACAGCCAATTGAGCTGTTACACATTGAACAGGTACGTACATTCTATACGATTAGGTCGCCTTAGCATTAGACACCACTGAAAACATGAAGCAGGCAACCAACACTGACCTCTATAATGCTGACACCAGCAGGGTCCACTGTGCTGACCATATGAACATTTGGAGTAGAGGTGGAACGATGCCTCTGTAGAGACTGCCCATCTCCACCAAGCAAAGGAAAGCGGAAGGCTGAAGTCGGAGACAGGAGGTCCATCCTGTGGAATCAAGCAAATGGTCACATTTTATAATTCAATATGAATTTCACAGACTAAGGGGTCGTACACACGCCCTTGTTCACTTACATCCAGTGCTGTCAATGTACACGTGCGGGTACACGTGTGGAAGGCGCCATCAAAATGCTGCACACAGTTACATATGGTTCAACTTTTGTAACGCAGCAGCGCCCAGTTTGTCAAGTGACGAGAAACAACGTATTAATTCTTAAGGCATCGTTCCTTTTTTACGCAACTCATTCTCGGTAAATGTGATCATTTTAGTGAAGAGCTATCGTTACCCAAAGCTTTAAGGTGCGTACACACACACACACACACACACACACACACACACACACACACACACACACACACACACACACACACACACACACACACACACACACACACACACACACACACACACACACACACACACACACACACACACACACACACACACACACACACACACACACACACACACACACACACACACACACACACACACACACACACACACACACACACACACACACACACACACACACACACACACACGAGGCGGGAAAGACATTGAATGCGTTTGGCCCTAAAGACTTAACTGACACTTGAATTTTATTTGTTAGGGTTAGCTTACCCAGCAGGCTCTGGGGTTAAGGCTAGGTTGCTCTGCGATGGGGAACTTTCTGGCAATAGTATCCGTGGGTACTCATCTCTGCAGAGATTAGGATCACACCTGACAAAAAAATAAGAGAAAAGGCATAAGACCAAAGAAAAATTTAAACAAGGTGTCATACAAAGGAAGACCGATTTAAGGAAGTTGGTGCAACTCTCGTTACATGTAACTATATTCAACCTACCCAGAGTGATCACATTTTTATGATCTATGCTGTTAACCTGATTTGTATATGTTTGTATTGCACCCACTTGTTTAGACTTTTATATTTCACATACATTGTGAAGGAGACATCTGTTAATCAGCATATATATTGTTTGTGTTAATGAACTTCGCAGTCCCTCGGAAACAGTTATGAGAACTGAACAAGTTGAAGAAGACATTGAAATGTGGTTTCAAGCTTCTAAAGAAGATAGTATGTCGACTTTGAGTTAAGATCATGACTCCATCCATTGACAGAGGTGCAGTTGGAGTTGATCTTAATAAAAATGAAGTTCAGAAAGTAATCCAGCCTTCCCTTCACTCAAACAGGGAGAAATATTGCCCTCATTCACGATTTTGAACACTTCCTCAACTCACCGTTTGCTCACTGTGTCCATGTCCACACACACTGTAGGGACCTTGCTACTGCAGTGCTGGTGAAATTTGTAGCCACACGTCTGACATCTGAAGCCATTAAAAAGAAACTTGTGGCAAAAATCACAGTAAGCCAGCTTGAAAAATGTTTTCCGTACCTGCACAGAAAAAAAGCCACAACATTTACATTACACCTTAAACATTGAAGAAACATTCAAGCAAAATATATATTTATGAACCCAAATATAAAGTGGAATATCAACCAAGCCAGCTCCTTACAGGTTGGCCCTCTGTTAATATAAGGTATAACAAAGAAGCCAAAAAAACATGTCACAGCTACTCACAAAGTTATGCATTGTGAGGGGAATATCATCCAGAACCTCGACTAAAAGCTCCTCTCCAACCAGGGGAGTGATGTCTGTGTCCCAGTCCGTCAGTCTCTTACGTCTGGAAACGCATAAAAAAATGTATTGATCTCCGAATTTGAGACTGTAATTTAAACAGTGAAAAGGTATTGAAACGTCTATTATTATAGACGTATTCTATAATGAAACATAGTTTATTATATGATTTAAACAAGTAGTGAACAAGAAGTAAAACTGAATTTCCTTCTACTTGAAATGTCACAAATAATCTGTCTTTGCACAGGTAAACAGGGTGCACACAAGTACGTTAAGAAAAGGAAGCCTGTCGAAAAACTGGGTTAGACCACCGCTGAGAGCAGGGTAGGGATGGGTACCGAGCCGGTGTTAAACGGGCCCCGGGGCTGAATTACTAAAGACCGTGGTACCGTTAAGATCCGACGTTATCGCTCTTTTTATCGGTACTGGAGACATGTACAAAATATACGTCATATGTATTATTGCTACATAAACATCATATTGCAGTTTTAGCTTCGCCAACTCCGTTTCTAATACGCAAAAAGACTGCAAAATGCGTCTATGGTTATTTTTAGTATTTTTGATCTTTCCAATCCAGTCGAGATCTCTCTCTCCCCCACGCCTGCTTGGGAGGGGGCGGGGCAGGTTACACACACGCAGCAGCTCAGCTGATACATGCAGCAACACACACACAGAGGAGATGGCGGTGTGCCGAGGTGTGGTTAAACTTTACCCGTCTCGATGTGGACAATGCTCGTTGCCAAAAGTGCAATAAGAGTTTAGCATGTGAGGGCGGTAACACGAGCAATTTGTCTAAACATTTATCAAAAGTGCTCCACATTCAGACGGAGGAATGCACCGGGTTCGACCGTCTTTCTAGCAGCTCTGTAGCCCCATCCACGAGTAACGTTTCCACGTCAGGTGTTCTGTATGCTAGCAGCAACACACGGAGTTATACAAACATGGGTTAATGATTAGAGGAAACTGAGGTATTTATTTTGTTACAGTTTCAGCTATTCTGTTTACAGTTCTGTCATCACATTATTTAATACGATTTGTTAAAACATTGTCGTTTCTTTTGATGTGAAATATTATTTATTTCATTTAAATAAAAGCAATGTTAGTTTTGTTCACAATTTGTTAACCCTTTTTTTCTCCAAAAGAACCGATAAGAGTACCGTTAAAGGACCGGATCGATAAGCGGTATCGATAAAAGTAGCAGTACCGTTAAAACCTTAACGATGCCCATCCCTACAGCAGGGTTATTATTTGATGTTTGCTTTAAATAGAAGTAAGATTAACCTGGGCGATTTGGCCATTTGATTATCCGACTGCTGTAGTTTCTTGTCGAGTCAGATTTGTTTTTTGGAGATGTTTACAGATATCCGCAATAACTTCCTGAGTCCTCAGGGCAAGAATCATGAAACTACAATCAACATGTCCCTTAAATAACACACACATCTGCACAACCTATACTGTATATATATATATATATATATATATATATATATAAGTAGGGTTGGGAACCGAAACTCGGTTCCAGATGAGAACCGATAAGAAAATGCCGGGTACCCGTACAAAATACACAATTTCGGTTCTGCTTAACGGTTCCTAAACGCGGTAGACCCTGTATTCCAGCGGGTCCGTCTGCACCGCGGTGCTGCGGTGACCCGGTGGAATACAGGGCGGACCTGGAGAATCACAGAACGGCCGGTCGTCAGCGGGCCGTTGACTGCCGGCTCGGTACGCTGATGGCCGGCACCGCCCTTCATTTGTTTAAACGGCATCATATAAATTGCGCTGACAGGCGACAGAGGTCCACAGTTGCCCCGCAGCGATGCTCCCCCGCCCTCCCGTAGACATTTCACGAGCTCAGTCACTTCATAACACCAAAGATAGGTCGCGGTAAACACTCTGAAGTGAGGCTCCACTACACTAAAAAAGAAAAAGAAAAGGCAAAGTGTAATGCCTGTTAATAGCTTGCCACAGGCATAGCTCAGTTAAAATAAAGCACAGCTATTGTGCAATACATTTGTATTGCATGTATATTTTTTAGTAACAATTTCAGTTAAAGCTTTTAAGAATAAATATATTTTTGTTATCTAAACGTTTGACCTCTTTATTTTACAATTTTGGAATCGAAACGGGGAATCGATAAGAACCGGAATCGATAAGCAGAACCGGAATCGAAATCGGAATCGATAAATTTCAAACGATACCCATCCCTATATATAAGCCAGACCATTAGGATCAACCAGAGAAATTCTGTCAATTTAAACTCTTTTTACTGTAATTTAAATTGTCAGTTCACTGAACTTGTAGCTTAAATAAAATATAAATAAAGTGTATTTATTATTCATTTAAGCTACATGGTGTAAATAGCGGTTTACAATAAAAAATGTAAACATATTATTTGATATTTAAATTATAACAAAAGACTCTAAAGTTCAGACCAGCTGATACAAGAGGATGGGCCAGTCGTATATCAGAAAGAGGCCTAGGAGGAACTGCATTTATGAGCATGTTTAAATTACTTTAAACACAAAGAATGGGCAACCATTTTTACTCTTCAATCTTATTATTTTACAATTATATCAAAAGAACAGAGTCTACAATATTCAGATCTGAGACTTATGTTTATTTGTTGCCGATACCCTTTCATCTTTTATGTTGGTGATTAGGAATGCATCCATTATCCCTATATGGTGTTGTAGGACATTCAAAGGACAGTAAGCAATCTTACCCTTCTAGCAGGCGAAACACAGCACAGCAGTCTTGGCTCAGGCCTCTCACTTTGAGAGCTTTATCTAGACTCTCGTACACAGTCTGTCCTTGGCGAACAGTCACCTGAAAACAAGAAACTGCATTTTAACAAAAGCCACTTTGAAAAGAAAATCATTGGCCATGTACACACAGGAAAAAAGAATGCATACCAGAAGTCCTGAAAAGCAAAAATGACAGATGCACATTTTGAGTTCATGTTGTTATCAGATTATCCATGTTATGACAGAACTTCAGTCCAGTTTACACATCACTTTTTCCTTTTCTATCCTATTCCTTTTTTGGACTATTTCAGAGCTCTTAAAGACAACATTGATGTTTGGCAGTGAACACAGCTGCTGGTCCCATACTGATGTTACCTCCACAAAATGTCATAGCGTGGTTTGTCAGTTCTTTTGATATAAGACACCAAGCAGAGTAACTGGAAGAGCTCAGCAGTCAATACATTTTTCAAAAACAGGTTGAACATATATTGTCACAAAACTATCAACTCAAGTTTCACTTAAAAGGCAACAGAAGTGGACATGTATGGTTTGTAGGGGTGTAACGGTACACGTACCGAAATTATTCGGTACGGGCCCTTCGGTTCGGTACAGGTGTGTACCGAAGTGTACCGAACGAATATAACGTTAAACGTAAAAAATTGAGAACGTGAACAACTTTTTGGAAGTAATCTCAGGAGCTGCGTCGCAGCATTCAGAGTCATTTGCTCACATTGGGTTCAACGCGTCATAGAGCGAGCAAGTCATTTCATTGGACGAGGGGCATACTATGACAGCTGGTCACAGGGATGAGTTCAAATGTAGTCAGTAATTTGAGGAACTGTCGAAATGGCGAACGCAGATAAAGTTGAGCTGAAAATCCTCGAAAATCATTGAAGTCTCCGGTTTGGGAACATTTTGGTTTCGCAGTTACGTACAAGGATGACGGACAAAGACAGGTGGACCGAACCAAAGCTGTTTGTCGGCATTGTTCAACTAACATTGGTTACACGGCTGGCAATACATCAAACTTGCACACTCATTTGAAAAGGCATCACCGAACGTGAATATCACCGGTACCAAAAGAAAAAAGACTGAAGTGCAAACCTAACTCCCACTAGCATGTAAGCCTCCACCACTCGCAGAGAGTTCAGACCGAGCCAAAGCTATTACAAACGCCAAGTATCCTTATGTTGCCATGTTAGCAAAGCGCTACCTGGCTGTGTCTGCTACCTCTGTCCCTAGAGAGGGTGTTCTCCACAGCAGGAGACATTGTTGGTGCCAGCAGATCTGCTCTTTCAGCAGCAATGTGGACAAGTTCATCTTTCTTTAAACAACATGAAAATACAATGACAAGCAAGTCCTAATGTCAAACTGGCTGCTTAGGTGCTAGTACAGTTCAAATACAGATTTCAGTTCATCGACATGCTGCACCTTAATGTTTATTTTATTATATTTTGTATTTATTTGAGTGAATATTCACAGTTTAATAATAATAAAAATATATATATATATGTTTTGTTTTGTGAAAAAAAATTCTGCTGTACCGAAAACGTACCGAACCGAACCGTGACCTAAAAACCGAGGTACGTACCGAACCGAAATGTTTGTGAACCGTTACACCCCTAATGGTTTGCTGTTTTCAGTTCATATGAATAACAATCTTGTGCATTATCAGTATTATTAACATTGAGCAGAACAGGAAACGACAATATAACAAATATGATTTAAAACAAAAATATGAAAACAGGATATACATGTCTGATAGGAAAGATAAGTCACAGAAACGCACCATCTGTGCAACCTCACACCACACCAGCTTACTCACTGACATCCTTAGGAGGATGTCACATTCTGTGTAAGTTATAACACTTACAATCAACAGTGCTGGCATAATTATTTATACGGATATAGATTTAGCCTTCCCATAACATTTATACTTTTTGTATTCAAAAATGTGTTTTTCTGCCGAGTGATTGATTAGAAGCAAGTAAAGCAAATCATCTCACCACTGTCCTCTGTTTGTTGGGGAGGTAGACCCGTATGGTGCCCCCACCTCGGGGTACATCCTCCGGACTGGTCTCCCCTGAGGAGGAGTAGGAGGAGGAGGTGGAGGACATGATGAGGCGGGAGGAACTGGGACAAGGAGCACTTAGACACTTAGGAGAGCTTCATGCGCAGTGGGATGGATCCAAGAGAGTTAGCCCTTTACTTGGAGCCTGCAACGACATGGACATATTTCAGTTTTGACACAATATAGACTACCTCCTGTGTGAATAAGGTGGATGCCGTTGTTGGGGGAAAAGGCACTTTTCTGTCCTAGATATAACGATGATCCATCATCCTATTAGATGAAGGTAAAGGTTCCATTACTAAGAAACAATTAACACATAGCAGGAAGCCTGTCCCAAAAACACTTAACACTATACATGATCACAGCACATGCAAACAAGCAAAGCTGTACAAAACCAACGCTGTCCATAACTAAAATGGCTATGAATCACGACCAACTATTTCTGACTATATCTCCATTCACAATACCAGCCTACAGGCATAATATGGACACGACAATTATAGATAAATAGTTTTGAATTCACAAAATGCACAAGCAACGATTATTGGCAGCGCTTGCCTGTTTATGGTTATTTAATTCAAAAGCTAAATTGCATACGAGTTTTGATTAGAGGGAGTGTGCAGGTTCATTAATACAACTATACCCTCCCACCGCTTTTACCAAAAATACTGTTTGTTAGGTAGGTACTTGGTGTCGGCTACACCAAACAAACGCTGTGTTATGGCATCAGTCTTAATACATCTATATAGAAACATGTGTTGCTGACAAGGAAAGCCGTGTATGCAAATATACTGAATTAGTTGTGGTAATACAAGAGAGATATCACGTACCCGGTCACTTAGCGGCACATACAAACGAGAAACATGTTTAAAGCTAATGCTAACTAGCATAACAATTATACACGTACACCAACAGAAACATCCGTGCATGTGCCGACGAGCTATAATTGCATGTAGAGATATAGCGCTGAAAGACAAAGTTGCAAACCTGCAAACTTGCTATCAACTCGCATGCTAATGCTTGCTAACGATAGCCTTTTAGCTTAGCATGGGCTTTGCCTGCTAAGCAACATGACATCTCGAGTTTGGAAGGCCATGTTTCTCTCGGAGCGCTAGTTAAAGGATTTAAACTAACTAGCAAACTACTTTAGGAACTGCAGAAGATAGTACGATGAGGGTATAAACTAATGTAATAAAAAATGTACGCTAATGCTAACGATGCAATATTATTATTGCGTTTGTAATTTCCTCAGCTCGACTTGAAACTGTGCGAGTCAGCTGGTTAAATGCTGAGGGAGTAGGAGAACTCAGAGGCTAGTTAAATGTACTCTAGTGTACAGTGTTTTTAAGCTACTCCTAGCCAGCTAACATTAGCCAATGTGGAGTTTCTACCACCGCGTCAGCTTATTGAGTACTTATGTGTCTTCCCAAAATAAACAGCAGTGACTTATTTAATCGACATGCTGTAAACTGCACACCGTTGTTGCTATACAGTTGCCAGGATAACAGCAAAGCGCCTTCCGTCAAACAATTGTTTATTACAGTTTAGATACAAGTAAAACGCTTACCTGTAGCAGCCATTTTGAATTCTTTCAATCTGAAATCAGATCTGTCAAGAACTTCGTGGAAAGCGGAAAACCTCCGAACTGCTCCGCCCACATTGGTTGATTGGTTGAAAGGGCCAGTGGGTGGCGCCAATTCACCGTCATGTTTAATCTGTCATTACTGATATCCCAACAAAGCAGGAGTGCACATTGTGCTGCACGTACCGAAAGGAAACTAAGTAGTAGCCTAGTTATTATTACAATATTGAGAGTAGTGACCAAACAATGTAAGTGATAAAAAGGTTTTTACATGACATTACATTTAGCTGACGCTTTTATCCAAAGCAACTTACAAATAGTGCAATAAACCATAAAGATTCAAACTAAGGACAACAAGAACAGTGCTGACTATGTACTACTAACAAGCAATATAATTGTAAATGCATGAGCATAAGTAAAACGTCTCTAAATATCTAAGTTTTCCTAGAGGGTGAAGAGGCATGTGGGCTATTTGCAAATAGCCATCTTTCAGAAGAGTTCAGAGAAAAGATAAATTACTGATGAAACACATATTGCAAAAGAGTTTCAAAGAGGTTGGGCCATCCTAATGACACTGTGGATATTTACAGTATATATATATATATATATATATATATATATATATATATATATATATATATATATATATTAAAGAAACTATAGCAGTGCTCCAAACTGGATACCATAAACACAGAAAGTAATCAGAAACAAGTTTATTGCCAGGTACGTTCACACGCTTTGGTGTCTGGTGGTGCTGAGTGCTGACATAAACAATGTAAGAGAATAAGTTGTCAGAGTGGGTCAAAAATATAAATGTAATAAAAAGAAAGTATTTTTTACAAACTATTTGGCATTACAAAAGAATAAAGAGAAATATTTACACCAATTTGTATTTAACTATACAAAATAACTTAAAGAGCTTAAAAACTCAAATACTTAGGACAATGAATATATGACAATGTATATACTGTATATATAAAGTATTGTATGTGGAGGGCTGTGCAGACATGTGTGCAGAGCTGGGCAAAAATATATTCGGAGAGCTGAACATGGCTCACAGTAATACAAATGAATGCAAAATAAATGCGATATGTTTTTCGCATGATGTGCATTAATGAAATGCATAATGTTTTTCTGGGGTGGATAAAAGCCAGTGTCAGTGGGGGTCCCAAGCCCTGTTAATGCGGCCTGTAGCAGACGGGGTGAAACTGTTCAAGTGGCAAGAGGTTTTGGTCCTCGCCTCCTCCATCACGATATGGTAGGCTACACTGCAGCTACAGCCAAGGACCGTGGCGGTGAAGGGCCATGTTGACAGCATCGTCTACAGACCTGTTGGCTTCAGTAGACTGGACTACTGCAATGGTGTCTTCACAGGTCTCACTAAAAAATATATTAGAAAGCTGCAGCTGATTCAGAACGCCGCTGCTCGAGTCCTCACTAACACTAAGAAAGTGGATCACATCACTCCTGTTCTGAAGTCTTTACACTGGCTTCCTGTGTGTCAAAGAATAGATTTCAAAATACTGCTGCTGGTTTATAAAGCTTTGAATGGTTTAGGCCCAAAATACATTTCTGACCTCCTGCTAAATTATGAACCATCCAGATCTCTCAGGTCTTCAGGGACTGGTCAGCTTTCTGTCCCCAGAGTCAGAACTAAACATGGAGAAGCAGCTTACAGTTATTATGCTCCAAATATCTGGAACAAACTCCCAGAAACCTGCAGGTCCGCTGCAACTCTGACTACTTTTAAATCCAGGCTGAAGACTTTTCTTTTTGTCGCTGCTTTTAATTGAAACTGAGCCGTTGTGTTCATCAGTAAAGTGGAACTTCTGTGTGAACTATTCATATCTTAAACTGCACTGTAACTTTTCATTCATGTACTTTTTATTCCTGCATATTTTCTTTTAATGTTTATTTTATTATCTTTTACTGTTTTTAAATGCCTTTGTCTGAATGTCTTTCATTTTTGTAAAGCACCTTGAATTGCCTTGTGTTGAAAGGTGCTATATAAATAAACTTGCCTTGCCTTGCCTTGCCTTGCCTTGCCTTGCCTTGCCTTGCCTTGCCTTGCCTTGCCTTGCCTTGCCTTGCCTTGCCTTGCCTTGCCTTGCCTTGCCTTGCCTTGCCTTGCCTTGCCTTGCCTTGCCTTGCCTTGCTGCCTTGCCTTGCCTTGCCTTGCCTTGCCTTGCCTTGCCTTGCCTTGCCTTGCCTTGCCTTGCCTTGCCTTGCCTTGCCTTGCCTTGCCTTGCCTTGCCTTGCCTTGCCTTGCCTTGCCTTGCCTTGCCTTGCCTAGGAGAACTGCAGGGGGTCCATAGGGGGTCTATGAGGGTTTTGAGGTGTGGAAGGACAGGGCGCTCAAAGGACTTCATAACCACAGAGGTCAGGGCGACAGGTGTGTCAATGTGATCCTTGTTTTTCTCGGGACCGGGATGGTGGTGGATGTCTTGAAGCATGCTGGTATGTGGCATGTCTCCAAAGTTAAACTCCCTCGGTTACTCAGAGACAATTTCGTCTTGAACAACCACATTTGTATGTATCAAACTAATGTGTCTGGTTATTACCCATACAAGATGATAACACATTTCATATAACAATATGTAAGAAAGTCCGATGTAGCAACTGTCCCCATTGGGACATGTTTAAAATACATTACATTTGACTGAATACCCTTCACTTTTTATCTGAATTAGCTCTTTAAAACATGTTTTGTTATACAATAATATTCATTTATTCATACATTAGTATTATAGTGTATTTTTTCAACCAAACTGCAACTAATCAAACTTTTGTAACATTCAGGTAAATATGATTTACATTTTAGCATGTTTTTGATTGGATGAATTAGACTTTTTTGAACAGTCTCTTATTTTCATTATAGGCCTTCATACAGGAAGTAAATAAACTATTGAGTATAATAAACGCCTCTGTTAGCTTGGCAGTGCACTCAATCCTTAAAACTGGATAGGGTCGGCTCATCAGGATTGTGAATACATGTATGCATTTCAGGGACGTGCACAGGTACGGGCTAATGTTGCCCGGGCAACGGCCCGTTTGCCCTTTTTGACTGACCTGCCCCTCTGGAGAGAGCGAGAGTTGTTTTTCTTTCTTTTTTTGTGGCCGAATCAACATGATAAACCCACAATTAGTATTGTAGCGTCTCGCTGCGGGAAACACACGTTGTCAGCGCTGTCATCTGCCCCTAGTCACGTGACTTTGTTTACAATCTGACAGCTGAAAGCAAAGGAAAGCCTCCGTCCTCATATGGCTATATTCTACTGATCATAATTCCATTGTTGAGGTCTACTAAAATAGATTTATACTGTACAATTTTCCAAAATCACATTGGTTTCTCATACAGCATCTCTGTATAGTATGTATACTCTCTGTCCTAAACGGCTTGTTGGAGCTTCTCTCACTCAAGCTGGTTTCTCCTATTCTTACCCTACCTTTAACATTGTTCTCAGAGACGGCTGGTGATAAAAATGTTGGGTGGGGCGCAAAAAAAACAACCTACAACCAGGGGCGGACTGGCCATCGGGACGAATCCCGATGGGCCGGTACTGAAGTGGGCCGGTTGGACGATGTAAGCCAGTCGGATAAGTCACTAGCTCCCCCCCCCCCCCCCCGTCGACAATTTACTAGCGGTATTTACTAGCGGTATTTACTTGCGGCACCGAGGTGGGCCGGCGGTACCGAAGTGGGCCGGTCGAGACTGGGATGATTTGTAGTCCCAGTCCGCCCCTGCCTACAACACCACTCCAAAGTCGAAGGAAATTGATTGTGATTCATGGACACTAGCCCCGGTTGTAAGCTCGTCCTCGATCACTTGCCTGCTGATGAATTTTTTAATCGGGTCGGTCCGGTCCAAGCTCCTTTATTCTCTTTTTTTCTTCCAGTGGACGCCTTGTGAAATGGTGTTTTTGTAAAGAAAAAACTGAATTTTCTGCGGCCGCACTTGAATTTGCCATAACAATATCATCCAGAAAACTAATGGCGGGTGTGAACATAAAAGACAGTGTCATAGTCCAATCACATCAGGTCAAAGATCATGAAAACAATACAGATTCGCTGCCAATAAAAGTGGGAGGGTCTGGGGCGCAGAGAGTTGCGCCACGTGGGAAAATATGAAGCCGCCAATCAGCGAGCAGCTTTTGGTCACCTTACCAAAAGTTTAACGACTTCCATTCACTCTGATTTGGCCGGCGTTCCTCAACCAGGAAGTATGTATTCACACAAAAATACCCAAAATGCGGAACAATTTTTTACGGAATGCAGACTATATGCAGGCGCATCGTTCAAGGAAACACGTTTATTTCATAATATTTTATATATAATAATTCACGTTTATCATGTTTAAATAGACTTTCTTCTCGAGATATTATGAGAGGGGGCGGCGCCCCAGAGCCCCGCCTTGACCAGCCGCCACTGGTTGTTCTGTCGTCTGAAGTGAAAACATCTTATTGATATTTCTTTCTATTTTATTGATTTGCATTGCGTTTGATGTTGAGCTAATCCAAAAGTAACGGTAAGTAATTAGATTACATTCCTTTAATATTGTGATACTCAAATTAGGTTACTGATTATATATTTTGTACAGGCAACTAGTAATTGTAACGGATTACATTTTAAAATAAACTTCCCAACTCTGATGGTAATATATTTTAGTTGGTTTTGTTTCCTATCTCCTGTCTGATTGATTGATTGATTGAAAAGTTTATTAACAGCTTGTATATTGGGTACAGTACAGTACAGCTCAAAACATACAATTGTTAAGGGGATGCAGACCAGAGAAAGACTTTCGTCTTGTTTACATCAGGGTCCCCCATTTCCAATCTACCATCCGGTCCAGTAGATGGCGATAATGCAACAACACGTCTCACCAGTAAACCTTAGAAAAGAAGAAGAAGAAGATCTCCCAGCCTGCACTGCTGCTGCTGTGTCCGACGTTACCGAACTACTCTGACTACAATCTGTGAGAGACCTGAACCAGACACAGAACCAGCCGCCCTGTGTCTCCAGGATGAGTATCCGGACCCTGCTCGCCTCCAGCGGGATGATCGCTGTCATCG